TGAGCTGAAAATTACCAACTATTGTGTTTTAGGTGTAATGCTCAGCTGGATCAGCTATTGTTAAGGAAAAAATCGGTTTTGATACAAGAGCATTAGAGATGGGCAGCTTTAGAAAATGACTAAATCTACCCTAATACTGTGGTAGCACATTCGTAGCCGCGTAGTCGCAAAATTCGCAAAAATTTTTAGATTAGATAAAGACTAAGGATACGCAATTTTTTAACGCAAACCTAGGAACTCGAGGAGATCTTGGCGAAGAATGGCCTAAAGGGGCCCACCGAAAGTTCTTCCCCCACTCCCGGCCATCCCCTCCGCCCCTCGATCAATCAAAGAGATCCAAGGGAGCCCAAATCAAACCCCATCGGGAAAGTGACGATCTTTTTCAAATATTATATTTCATTAGTGTAGATACCTGTTAAACGAGTAGATAAAGACTAAGGATAGTAGATAAAGACTAAGGATTTTTTAACGCAAACCTAGGAACTCGAGGAGATCTTGGCGAAGAATGGCCTCAAGGCGCCCACCGAAAGTTCTTCCCCCACTCCCGGCCATCCCCTCCGCCCCTCGATTCCAAGGGAGCCCAAATCAAACCCCATGCGGATCACTTGTAAGCGATCGCTCAACTCTTCTCTTGACTCCCCTCCCGAAGACACACAATGAATCGGCTCCCGATTGATAACTTACCGCAAATCAGACATTTTTCCTCTCTGGTCAGATTTGATGAGCAATCATTCAAGTCTCAATGAATGAGCTCAAATTTGATTGAATATGATATTTTTCTTGTAATACCACGGAGATTATTCTCTTTTTCTTGCAATATACAATACGACAATTTATTTCGAAGACGTCAATGGCTGAGTCCAGGAGTAATTCCTAAACCGACATCGAAACCAGAACAACATGGAAAGAAAGCTCTTCGCTGTGTTTGGTGGATTAACCAAGGATTAAAAAAGCAAAGCGATTGGCGGACAAAATTGAAAAATTAAAATGATCTCGGGCGGGGTCGAACCGCCGACCTTGTGTATGTGAGACAGATGTGATAACCACTACACCACGAGACCTCTGGTCTGGAGCCAAAAATAGGAACTATTCAACTCATTTTGCCTTTTTCCACAAAACTACCTTTTTTAAAATCAGTTTTTGACAGATGTGGCCCCTTTTAGCCCTGTCAATTTTCCAGCGGCCACTGCGGGCTCGTGGTGGAGTGGTTATCTCATTAAGCGGGCTTTGAGTTGAAGAAGTTGACCGCCCAATTGTTGATCTCATCGATGTCTTTGAGCTGTTGTTCTCGCAGGGAATGTTCCATAAATAAGTGATAATCTGGGGGAGCCATATCGGGACTATACGGGGCATCAGGAAGCACTTGCCACTCTAACTCTTCGAGTTTTTCCTGAGCCTTCCTTACCACATGCGGTCTTGCGTTATCATGAATCAAGTGGATAGTCCTCGGATGGAAGCCTTTTTGGCGGAGGACCTGATCGTCTGGCCCCAGTGTTTACTGTGGAGATCAGCAGTAACTATCTTGCCTTTTTAACGCTTCAAAATGAAGTAATCATTGGTTAATTCCCCAAACACAGAGAAGAGCTTTCTTTCCATGTTGTTCTGGCTTCGATGTCGGTTTAGGAATTACTCCTGGACTCAGCCATTGACGTCTTCGAGATAAATTGTCGTATTGTATATTGCAAGAAAAAGAGAATAATCTCCGTGGGATTACCATTAGTGAAGGAGATGGATGGAGGAGGTCAAGGACCTCCTCTGCCTTAACGACTTTCTTTGGTTTGTCCAAATCGCCTTTAATCCCATGATTGTAAAGCATTTTTTGATTGAATTCGTATCGAAGAGAAAATCGCAGAGAATATCGAAGAGAGAATCAAAGTTTTTGTATTTTTTCGATGGCTTGAACTTCATTCGGCAATTGTTGGAGGACGGTGACGATTTCCGCGTATTTCTCGCTCGAAAGATTTCTCGATTAAACTTCACTTCTGATTTGATTGAAAGTCAGAAAACTGTCGGTGGAATTCTTTCTCCATTCCTAAAAAACAAAAATTAGTGTAGTATAAACAAAGAATGCACAGTAACAAAAAGAAAACATAGGAAAGGGGTTATGTTCAATTATAAACAGATTAGTGGCAAACAAGTTTTATCGATGATCCAACAAAGGGGCAAATTGACTTACAAAACAATTCTATTTCAAAATGATCAGATAGAAAATGACGAAAAGGGCCCTTTTATAGCAAAATGTTGTTACATAATGATAAAATGCGCGCTCTTTAGAATGCGTTAGCTTTCAAGCGCCTTTTAGAGAGCTTGAATTTGTGGCGTTAATTTGCGTCAATACATAACTCAACATTTCAATTTTGAGACTTAATCGGCTAGCCGAAGAAGTCTGAGACTTCTTCTGAAATTGTGGAGGTTTCCAAGCATCCTCCACAATTTGCCCTGACAAATTTGGTTCCAAGCGCCGCAGATCTTTCCATCCCTACGACATATTATAAAATGATTGAAAAGGACCTTTTTGCCACGTGGATGAGATTAATTATGGTGGGTCTGCATAATTTTAGGCTCAAAACCGTTCCAACTTCATAATTTCAGGAATGTATCCAACAAACGTGCGCAAAGTCTTCTCGCTGATCATCGATCAGCTGGCCGGCGAAATCGTAATTTGGTGAAGACACAATATTTCTTGTGAGTTTTTGGGTTTTTAGATTTAAGTGAGATCAAGATATCATCTATTTTTAGGTCTAGTCCTACTCCTCTACTCTGGTGAGAAGGTGGCCGTGCATCTCGCCCACAACCCTCTGCCACCCGATATTATGGTTGGTTTGAGTTTGTTGCTAATGTTAAAATGCTAAATGGATGATGCTAAAGTAAGGCCTAACTAAACCGCAACTTTTTACCAAACATTTTTATCGATTTGACGATAACCATCAAGGTTTCCTAGCACTTATTTCACGTTTTTTTTTCAGGAATGGAACATCCGGATCAGACCACTATTTTAATAGTGATTATTTTGCTCTCCAATCGCTGCACATTTTGTCTCCGTTGTTAAAATTTTCCTGATTTGTTTGCTTTTTGATATCATACGAGTTTTGCTAAGGTTTTCTCTCGGTTCTGCTATTTTCCTTTGTTTTTAAATTTTGATATAGTTTTTCTGAATTTCGTACTTTTCAACTGTTAGACGTTAGACCATGCCAACAAGTCGCTCTGCTAAGATATGCTTTTTAAGTTGATTTAAACCGTCTTTCGCAATCTCGAAAACTTTTATTACTCTGCACGGTCAGAAATCCTACAAGGATCTGATTTTTCGCTCAGAAAAACCCCAGTTGAATCCAATCAGTAGATTGTGACTAAGGGGCCAATATCCTTTTCAACACTACATTTATACTAGTGAAAACGCTCAAACTTCCATGAAATTCGAGAATTCCCGTAGCTGTGTCATAAAGATTGGCTCGCTTATAGGAAATGGTAGCATTTTCCAAATGGAAATGGTAGCATCAAAAAGGTAGCATTTTCCCACTCCCGATTTTATAATGTTGGGAATAATTTTGCTTTAGTATTGCTTCTACAAATCTTCCTCTTTTTTGAGCTTCTAAATTAGCAATTGGATCGTTCAAATAATCTTCACTTTTGTTTCCCAATTCTTTTTCTTAAGGTTGTGCCTTAGCCTGTAGACTTTCTAGATTCTACAAACAGTCTTAACAAATAAATAACATTTCGTGAATAAGATTTCATTTCAAAAATCAATGCGTTTGATACAAGGTCAACATAATGAACTAAAGTATTATTTGAAGGGTTACTTATTTGAAAAAGGCATTTAATCTCTGGGTGAATTGAATTGAAAACTAGTCTTTCTTTGCTGATCCTTTCGGCTCCTAAAATTTTATCAAAAACTCGATCTAAGTGCGTTGGTTGCTTGGTAGCTGACGCAAATAAAGGCTGAAGCAATAATTCTTGTTTTGTAAATTGTTCTGTGAGCTTTTCAATCCAAGCGTAATCCCCGTTATCTAGGTCTAATTCATTTTACTTTTTAGTTCACATGATTTGGTAGCAGTCTTCTAATAGAGTCATGTACTCATTTGGACAGCTAAACTAGCATTAGTAAATTAGGAAGTCTTCAGGTATGAGAATCCAAAACGACAATCCAAAGCGACAATTGGCGGGAAATTGAAAACGACTTGAAAGCGATAAAAATTTGTATCAAAAACTCTTTGCGAATCCTAAGCACGGCTAAAAAAGCTCGGTCAAAATCATGTCCAAAAGTTGCATATAAACATTTCTCTTTCAGTTTCTGCGTCTGCGCATCTTGTAACTACATTCGACAATTGCAAAAGGATCGAGATGTAAGTGAAAGAAAAAAGTCTCTAAGCAAGGAAAAGCTTTCAGGGCATATTAAGTAACGGCAACAATAGAACAAATCGGACATATTATGCGGCGAAACACTACGCCGATCGAGTCAGGGCGAGTCGGGGAATGGCTTGGCTTAGATTGGCTTCCCTATTCTATTAATTGTTTTTTACAGCTACATACCTTGGCTTTGAGTTTAAACTATTAGTGTTATACATTTTCTGAAAGGTCTTTTTTAAGGCCGACCAAGCGGTAATCTTATTATTTAGTGGTAAAACTAGGAAGTTGCAGACTCGGGAAAGTGACGATCTTTTTCAAATATTATATTTCATTAGTGTAGATACCTGTTAAACGAGTAGATAAAGACTAAGGATACGCATTTTTTAACGCAAACCTACGAACTCGAAGAGATTTTGGCGAAGAATGGCCTAAAGGGGCCCACCGAAAGTTCTTCCTCCACTCCCGGCCATCCCCTCCGCCCCTCGATCAATCAAAGAGATCCAAGGGAGCCCAAATCAAACCCCCATGCGGATCACTTGTAAGCGATCGCTCAACTCTTCTCTTGACTCCCCTCCCGAAGACACACAATGACACGCCAATAGCACCTGAAATTTTGCTTGATTTGGACAGGTAGAAATGAATGAGTCACTTATTTAATCTAGCTGCCAAGATTCGACAGGTTCTAGACCAACGGGGCTAGCCTACTTAAAGGCAAAATCTACGGTAGTCCAAAAACAACTTTTTAGCCGTTTGAACAACCCACCGAAAAGGATCAAGATGATCGACAGTAACACACGCGAATTGCCCCACTGTAATCGAGCGTGCATCGGCGACCGAATGCCGCTGAACCTGAGATACAAGGCAGAATATCTTTAGAATAATGCAAGTGAAACACCACAAAGTAATCTAAAATTTCTAATCAAAGAAGCAAAAGAAAGCGAAATCTCACACATTAGCCCCTCGGCAAATCCCTTTAGCGGTGGTCCGTATCCTGGGGATTTAAAGGCAGAAGTGTAAAAATGAAAATACTTTATACTTCTTGATCTTTCGATTCATTTTACCAAATCTTTCCCTATCTAACGAACCTTTCAAACGAGACAGCCACGGCTAACCACGAAGCAGACGCCGAGAAAATGTTTGACATTGAATGAAAAAAAACATGGGTTTTATAGAAAAATTCTCTAAAATAAACTTTGGTTATCTCACTTCTTATTTCTTGCACCGAAATGGCGCACTTCGGTAGAAGGTTGGGTAGATGTTGAGAGCGTATGGGAAATGGCAAACCAAAAGAAGGATGTCCGCGAGTGCCATTGCTGCGAGCAGGATATTTGCCTGAAACTCCGCCATTTATCATTCTTAAAAATATTAGCGATTTAATTATTCAATAACCTTATCTTATCATGGATCTAAAGAACTTTTTAATGATCTTTTAAAGTAAGATCGTTGCTGACCTTTTCAAAAAAATTTCCGGAAAGATTCCCGGGTGACCCCGGAGGGAAAAAAATCTATGGCTTTTTTCAAATTTCAATACTACCTCCTAGCGCTAAATTTGAACTAATTTAGGCCTTCCTCGGATTGGTCTTTTTCTCTTTAGGTTTGTAGTATTTGTCTCAGAGAATGGTGCTTTCATAGTTGGTTGGTGAAAATTGCAGGGCTTTGAATTAAGGCTAAGACGATGCACTAAGAGCAAGTTAATGATACAAATCTTTTAATGATAATTTTAGCGGTTCCTATGTTTAGACCAGTAGCTTCCAGCCAAATTAGTTGACAAGCCAGATTTAACAAGAGAATGACCGTTGAATTAACACATTATTAAATTCTGGAATTCTTCGCCTGAAACCCACTAGAAGCAATTCTATTTTCTAAAGGAAATTTTAGTCAACCGAGGTTTGAATATTTGCAGTCGTTATTCAGCGGAAATCTTTACAATTTAAAACCTTTTCACAAATTGTAACTTTCGCCATCAAAAATATTTTCGGGATAAAAAGCCACGCGCCGCCATCAAAAATCTTTTGGTGGCCAATGTAGAACTACATAAAAACAATCGTAGCGTCAAACCCTTGGCCGAGAAATCGTTTCACTGATCTGAAGCTTTTGAGCTTCAGATCAGTTTCTATAATACTTTCCTCTACTTCATTTCTAGCTAGTAAAGTGGAAGTGAATTTTCGGCCATAGCATCGGCATCTTCAAGTAAATGTCTGGTCAGAATTGACTCTTGAAAAATATTAGGATCAGAAGAGTCTCGAGATACCAAGACTCGAACGTAGGACGCTTTTTTCGAAAAGATTATTTAAAAACAAATCAAGCCAAGAAGATCAAGCTTATAAGTCAATAAACCATCTAATTAAACTCTTAAATTCAAGCAAAAATAACAAGGAAAGTAAGGAGAGAAAATTGTTAAGGAAGTCAATTGATCGAATTAGCCTTAATCCTTTCGCATAGATAGTCGAACTTTGACTGAGATTTTCACCATTCATACACTGTACTAGGATCTTGTTAAATAGGCATTGAATATGATCCTAGTGAACGGTAACGTCCTGACGGTAAACCTAGATTCTGAGTTTTGATCGGAAGTTTTGATCGGAACTATCATTCAACGCTGTGTTTAAGAGCAACTACAAGTTGATCGATAAACTATACGTTGAGATACTGAGAAAAAAGAAAAGTTATCAAAAATACAGTCCTAGCTTTTTAGCTTTTTTCCAACAAAAATTTTTAGCTAAGTCTGCGTTTTCATGAAACGTATTCCTCGCAAGATTTATAGTCGTTTAATCAGCTACCATAATAACGATTTGCGTGATGCTTTTCATAGAAAAAAATTAAATATTTTTTGAGTAAAATTGAAAAACAAGCTGGTAAACTCAAACGGTAAATCTCAAATGGCTAGCATTTCATTGCAAAATGGAAAAGGATCATTTAAAGATCAGCCCTTTCCTTATTCTTTTTCTTCAACAAGCACGCACCACTTGTTGGCCGATTCCTCCAGACTCGAGATCCTTGTCCCATCTGAAACGGAATCTTATGCTTTATCACAGGAAAAATCTGGAATTTATGAATATAAGAAAAGCTTGATTACCTCGAGATGAAGTAGCGGAACTGGACGATCACCGATCGAATCGCGGCGGAGACCTGGACGAATCGAAGAAATCTCTGAAATTTTAAGTGAAAAGAATCGATTGCAGAATCGTTTGGAAAAGATTAGAGAAAGGAAAAGTGCTTGGATTGACGTGTCTCGTCTTTGAAAAAAAACAAATTCAACAATGTCTTGTCCTTGAAAAAAACAAATTCAAACAACAAACAAAAACAAACAAACAAAACAAATTCAAATCTTTCAAGAAAAATATAGAAAGATATAGAAAGATATAGAACGATGAGAAAGATGTAGAAAGATGTAGAAAGATGTAGAAAGATGTAGAAAGATGTAGAAAGATAGCAATATTTAAAAAGATAGAAAAATATAGAAAAAGTAGAAAGATATAGAACGATAGAAAGATGTAAAAAGATATAGAAAGATAGAAAGTAAAAAGATCCAAATATAAAAAATGAAAAATATATTTGCTCTTCCTTTTTACATCCCGCAACAATGCGGGATGTAAAAATTTAGTGAAATTTGTGAATGCATTTGTGAAAAAGATCCGTTTTGGCTGAAGGCTGAAGATGCACCCTACAAGTAAAAAAGTGAGAACTTAAAAGGTCAATCTACGTCCAAAACTAGTGCTCTCTCCGCTTGCGATTTAAACATCAAACAAACGCTTGTACATAATTGTTTCCAGTTTCCCCTAAAAAAGATTTGATAACTATTTTCCTTCCCAAATGGCGCGTAGTTGTCATCTGTGAACCGGGATCGCTGCTAAATGCCGTAGCCAAACCAATGCTTTCTCGAGACACCCTTTTCAGATTTTTATGTGTGTGGCTGTTTTACACTCTAGATAATAGTAAAGAATACCTGAATTAGCATAAAATCTGATTCTCTATATTCACGGCTCGTTCGTATGATTAGATCGGGATTCTTTGACCGTCTTGAATCTAAAAAAATAATTTATAGGAACTAAATGAAAAATGAATTTTTCGAGCTATTTTTACCATAAAGGACTGAGTCCCTTTTGTGGAATAAAAGCTCTTCTATTTATAATATCCATATGGATTATCCACGGGAAGCTGCCCATCCACAATGGCCCTATGTGAGATTGTCAGAATAAAAAATAATTTATTTCTGTAGGCAAGAATCTTATCGGTAGATACCAACTTAATTCACATTTATGGTTTGCTCAAGCTACGACGAACATGGTGGGGTCTGATGGCTCAAGGATTCCTGAGGAAAGTGGGTTTAATTGGAATAAATCTTATCAACATTACAAAAGCTTTTTAAATAAAAAATATTGATAAATCGTAAAAAGATATGACTTTTGAGTAAAGTGCTTAGGTTATAAAGAAAGCGAGCAAATGACTGCGTGAGGAAAAGTGTGGAAATGCATGGATATTTGGACTGAATTCAGCCGTTTCACATATTCTTTAGCGTGCTCAGTTTTCAAAAGACATTTGCGCTGCTCAAGAAAAGTGTAGACAAGAATCTTATTGGTAAATGCTAAATTAAATGTGAAATCGAAGAAAGTGGGTTTATTTTGTTTCGAGGGCTTCTATCCACTCAGAAATGCATTTGTGAAAAAAGATCCGTTTTGCTGAAGATGCACCCTACAAGTAAAAAGTGAGAACTTAAAAGAGTCAATCTACGTCCAAAACTAGTGCTCTACTCCGCTTGCGATTTAAACATCAAACAAACGCTTGTACATAATTGTTTCCAGTTTCTCTAAAAAGATTTGATAACTATTTTCCTTCCCAAATGGCGCGTAGTTGTCATCTGTGAACCGGGATCGCTGCTAAATTCCAACTCTGAATAACAAAAAGGTAGAATTTTTAATTTTTCAAGTCAAGTTTCCGCTTTTTAGGCCTTCAACTTTCGATTAGCAAGCGTCAATATTCAGGTATGTGATAAAAATAAAAACCTAATGGAAATTGATGTGCTCGTTAGATTGGGGTTGTGTATGCAGTTGTCTTTGAGTTTTATTTCACAAAAATTGGGATTGGGGAAGGAGGAAGGGAAGATGAGAGAAAAGGGAAGGAGAGCAGACAAGCTAGTGCCTATATATAGAAATCAGAATTGGAACTGAAAATGGTTATGGAATCTTTGAATTAAACTGGACACACTTATGTCTCTATTTAGTTCCTCGAAAGCCCCTTTATAGCAACAGTTGAAAAGTACGAAATTCAGAAAAATTATATGATATCAAATTTATAACACAAAAGAAAATAGCAAACCTTGAAAACCGCTTTATGGTTTTTATTTAGTTCCTCTCTATCTTCCTTAAACCTCCCTCCCGAGAATGCAGGGATTCAAGACGGTCAAAGAATCCCGATCTAATCCTTACGAACGAGCGGTGAATATAGAGGGTTTTCAAGGAGCTTAGAAGGAGCTTTATAGGAACCCAGTAGGGACTATAAGGGAGCTTTCTAGCCGTTTTAAAGGAGCTTTATAGGAATTCATAATCCCCATCCCTATTTGGGCACTCAAATTTACATCCCGCATTGTTGCGGGATGTAAATATATTTTTCATTTTTCTATATTGGATCTTTTTACTTTCTATCTTTCTATATCTTTTTACATCTTTCTATCGTTCTATATCTTTCTACTTTTTTCTATATTTTTCTATCTTTTTAAATATTGCTATCTTTCTACATCTTTCTACATCTTTCTACATCTTTCACAGCTTTCAGGCCTGAAACCCTTTTCAGGCCTGAAAGCCTTTTCAGTACTGAAAGCTTTCACTTAGCGACTTTCAATACTGAAAAGCCTTTCAGGCCTGAAAAGGCTTTCAGTACTGAAAAGGCTTTCAATACTGAAAAGGCTTTCAGGCCTGAAAAGGTTACGGTACTGAAAGCCTTTTCAATACTGTAACCCTTTTCAGGCTAAAAGATGGAGGTAGTTGTTTTTATTGGGTTGGAGTTGTTTTTATTGGGTTGGAGTTGTTTTTATAAACAAATGAAATAAATTGTTGAATTGACAACCGCAAATGAGCTAAAACTCAAATTTATTGTGTGAAAACAATGGCAGTTTCAGCCAACTCTTATAATTATAATTTTAATAACCCTTTAATTTAAACAGATAAAACTTTCCGAACATTCCAGATACCATTACCGTGAAGTGAAATCGAAATTGTTTTTGATCGAAAACTCTAAAAGAATCACACCAAGAATACACATTTGGGTTTCAACTCAGGCATGGCTCAAAACTCTCTTCTCTCATTTCTCGGGATCGATTTCGCTGAAAAGCTTCGTTTGGAAGAACATAT